ATTCCATGGGATTCAATTCAACATAATTGAATTCACCAATTCCAGTTCATTTTTTGCACTACCAATTCCAAATCCACATAATTTTTGTGCTACCAAACACGAGAATTGGAAATGAAATCTTCAATTCTAATTCCATAGTTTGAGTTCTGTGTACCAAACGGGGCCTTAGATTTTAGTGAAATTTGCACTGAATAGGATTAAAACATAAGTCATTTTCCAATGTAGCACTTAAACTTTTTTATTACCTAAATAGAACTTAATAATAACTAGGGAGAAGAATAATGTCCAAGTAATGTTGGATATTTAATTTAGTTAAATAATGACTAATAGATAATGACCAATGGTCCTACATTAGGAAATAAAAGTTAGAAATATGTTAAAGTCATTATGTTTGAGTGATAAATTTCCTTAGATTTTATGCACTTCATAAGTAAAAGTTGGAAATATGTCGTGGGAGATGGTGGGTTCGAATACGCTTGATGTGTTTTTTTAGGGCCACCGTCGCGTTTACCCGTTTCCGACGACCCCCCATTCGAGTCTCCATGCAACGTATATAGCCTGTTTTCTCTCTCTCTTCACTTTTTAAAAATAATACTCCATCCGTCCCAAATTATTTGCCACATTTTCTTTTTCAACAGTCGCGGGAACTTTTGTTTATTTCTAAATTTTCATTGGTTATTTGATAAAATAAAATATTCTTGACACCTCTTAATTCGAAGAACTTTTCATATAGTTTTTTGATATGTAATTTTTATTTTTTATTTCTTTATCAATATGTAAATAAAATAAATAGAAAAAACTTGATATTTTGTCTCGGTAATAAAAATGTGACAAATAATTTGGGACGGAGGGAGTACTCCATAACAATAATAATAATAATATATACTCCGTATTTTAATATTGTTGGGGGGCAGGTGTATATATTAATCGGCACGAGACAAGTAGGAGGAGGAGTGGGGGGGGGGGGAAGGCAACTCAAAGGGACAGTAGTCTTGTGACAGTGTATGTGTACAGGCTCGCCCAATCATTCAAAATGGCCCTGTGCAATTAAATATTTTAGGCCTCAATTTTTTTGTTAAAACAAAATTTGTGATAAACCAAAGCACTAATACTAATGTATTGGTTATTTCATTTAATAAAACAGACTTTAAAATTTTTCAATAGAAGGTAAATTACATATACAAACATACTAAAAACAATGAAAAGGGATTACTAGGTTTAAACAATTGGTATATACTACTTGACAAACACACACAGAAAAAGTAAATATCTATGTGATAGATCTTATATTTTATAATAAAATAAAAAGTTTAATTATTAAGAACAAAGTGAAGATGAATAAAACAGAACATTAAGAATGGATGTGTTTATTTTTAATGAAAACAAAAAGTGGTTAAAGATGTACCCTACGAATGATGAAATAAAAATTAATCTATTTGACACATTGTTAAAGACCTGCAAACGAGTGAAATTTGGGAATTGAAGAAAAATTGGAAAATTGAATACGAAGATGAACAAAATCAATCACGGATTGGATAAAATTTGGAAAATTTAGGAAAAATATAAAATAAAATTGGAAAAATTCAAAACATATTCTATTTATTAGACTACGGAGTATAAAAATTAGAGAAATTTGAAAAAAAAGTCTAACCCTAAAAAGATCGAAAAAAATAATGAATGAAATCATAAATTCGCCAAAATTATGAAGCAACAGAAGCCTTAAAGTCCTTATGATGGTTTTCATGGCTTGAGTTCACAACTGCCACAAGAAGGAATGAAGGAAAATAAAATAGAAGAGAGGAAGCCATAATAAAGGTGATAATTAAAGAGGAAGAACCTCAAGAACCGAAGAGTCGTGCCACTTGAAGGACGATTGAGAAGGAGAAGAAGAATCTAGAATGAAGAAGGCATTGAACTCTCACAGGGTATTGGGCTAAAATTACAAATTAAATCTACTTATGGGTTTATAGTGTTTGAAAAATGGGCCCTCCAAACTAAGGGGCCCTGTTCAAATGAACCTCATGCACACCCTATTGGGCGAGCCTGTATGTGTATCAGTGTGTGTGTATATGTACATATATATATATATATATATATATATATATATATATATATATATATATATATATTGGTTCTGGTAAGAATGCAATCTTAGGAGAGAAATGAGAATGAATCTGGTGCTTTAGATTGTGAGATCTAAGGGTCAAGATTTCATCAAAATTAGATGCACCAAAATGGTGCAAAAATGCATCACGTCGAAATGCACCATAAACCTTTGAAAATGCACTATCTCAAAATCTAAGCGCAGGATGCAATCTGAGCCACACGATAGGACTTTCTGGAGGGAGTAATATAATGAGTAGAAATCATCCTAAATAGGACTAAAACATAGAGAAAAGTGCCAAAATAGGACTTTCATGTTTTTTTCCTGGAATAAGACTTTGCATTGTGGTAATGTGACTTTGCATTGTGGTAATGTGGCAGTGTACATGTGCAAATTACTATACTTTCTTGGTAATGTATATGACCATGTTTGATAATGTAAGTCCTATTTTGGGAATAAAAACATGGAAGTTCTATTTTGGTATATTTTCAATGTTTTAGTCCTACTTTGGTCTTTCTCCTTATAATGAATATGGACATATGAGCAAAATCAGTTATGATTATCTTTAATAACTTGAAGCAGCTTAAGTTAAACGTATAATTTAGTGCTATTTAAGTAAATTTCTCTAAAACAATTGTTGAAACCCATATCTTTTATTCTCACCAAACAGGCCCTTAGTTTCTAAGAATAATTTATGTAAAAATAATATATAATAAAAAATTAAAATAAATCAATTCACAAAAAAAGTTAATCATCTAAAGGCTACCGATAATAGGATCCAACTCGTTGAACATGCACTGGGTCACTTGCCCGTTTAATTTTGAATGGGCTTGGACCCTTAAATAAGGTCCTGACCTTGGATAAACACTAAAAGCCCGTTTAATAAATGTATCACGCATGTCTTAAAAGCCCAACCCTGTTCAAATTTATATTTAAAAAAAGAGTAAATTCCATAAAAGGTCCCAGTTATAGGTCGTTTTACATATTTAGTCCTTACATATGAAATATCAATAACTTAGTCCCCAATTATTATATGTTTTCCACAAATAGTCCTTTGTTAACATTTCTGTTAAGAATATGGATAAAATTGTATATTCATACTCCTCTCTCTTCAATTACGCTTCCTCCCTCATCTCGTACTCATTCCCAAATCTGTCGCTGAGTTTGAAGCTCTAAACCCAAAACCAAAGTGATCTCTCCTCTCTCAATTGTAAATCTTCTTGATGGAACTCAAAATCGAAACCAATAACCTTCATAGATGAATTTTATGAGTTAGTCTGAGGAAATTGTAAAGAAAACAAACCTCAAAATTTATTCATGAAGGTTACTGGTTTCGATTTTGGATTCCACCGGGAAGACAAACAATTGAGAGAGGATGAATGATTTCGGTTTTGGGTTCAAAGTTTCAAACACAAAAATGGATTTGGGAAATGAGTGCGATACGAGAGAGGAAGCTTAATTGAGGAGAGAGAGGAGCGTGGGTTTACAATTTTATCCATGTCTTTAACGGAAATGTTAACAAAAGACCATTCGTGGAAAACAATATAATAATTGGAAACTAAATTATGTATATTTGATACGTAGAGACTAAATATGTAAAACGAACTATAACGAGAATCTTTTATTGAATTTACTCTTAAAAAAGAATACCGTATTACTCTATCCTATTTGTCACATTCCATAGATATCTTGAAAATTTTCTTTTTTGGAAAGACTTGAGTAGCAGGGTCAATCCCGAGGATACCATGATTCCAAAAGAAATGAAAAAATGGGTTTTGACTCAAATAAGTTAAATTATATTCCGGGTATAAACTATTTGCTTGAAAACCAGAATTAATATTATATTAATACACATGACAAATACCTTAAAAATTATGATTTTTTATTGAAAAATATATACTCCCTCCGGTCCTAAAAACAAGGGAGTTCTTGATTTTTAAGAGATTTAAGGGAAGTGTATTTTGGTATTGAATTATCAAAAAAGTTATTTGATGTGATGAATAAAAGTAAGATTTGATAGATAGATTATTAGTAAAAAGGTATGATGTGATAGGTAGGATATGAAAAAGTAGGGGGTAAAAGTGACTTTTAATAGAAATAAGACGTTTTTTTTTGGTACGGATAAAAAAAAAGAAAAGTTTTTAGAGAGGGAGGGAATAATATATATATAAAATAAAAATGCCTGAAAAGAATGGACCTGAGCGAGTAGAGCACCTTGGCCTACACATGGGCCGGCCCTCTTGAGTAGCTTATATCTTTCACATTATTTCTACATGAATGACAATTGAGTGATTTCATTTTTGTAATATAAGTATGTCAAGTTAAATTGAGAAAAAATTATCATACAGAACATATATATGTGAGTTTGATTGTAATCAATAAATTATGGGGTTTAATCAACTATTCCAGCACACTTCCACACTATGCTTACTTTTATATCGCATTTTCTTTACATGAGATTGTGATTTATTTATTATTTATTTATTCAAGTTTAATTAAATTTGTGTGGTTTAAATCTCACATCTTTCAACATCACTACTACTTAATTGCCTAAAATATATTTTAGGTAATGTGTTTACTTTAGCGTGAAAAGAAAGAAAGCATGCAAGATTTCAAGAAATTATAAAATGAGTCTTGGAAAAGACTTATTTTGTATGCAAATCAAACCAGATTGCACATCAAATACTTTTGGCATAATTACTATCAAATCATACATGCCCATGAGAAAATGATAGTAAAGTAAAGCTACTAAAGGAAAGGATTATTTGATGGGTCATATTACACTCACAACAAATTAAATGTTGATATCGAAACTTTTCAGAGACATACATTATTGTACGTGTGTTATTGTTTTTAATGTCAACTACGTACTTTGTTGTCATCTTTCGGGTGAATGTAGAATTTTCCTTATTTATTTCAAGAGTTAAAAAACAACGCAATTTGATAAATAAATCACTAACGACGATCGAGCACCCAAATGGAAGGAAGAAACACAGACCCAAACCAGAGTTTACCATCTCTCTCTTGAACCTCACTTATGAACTTCATGTTCTTCCCTTCACTGTCCTCGAGAATCTCCAAAACCTCTCCGGTCTCGCCGCAGAGTTTCACGGCACCGGCGTGAGGTTTCCCTCCTTCAAAGAGGAAAACCAACAACTCCATTTTCAAAGTCTTCATGAAGAACTTCCCAATCCATGGATGCATCAACGAAAACCTAGAGAACGGAGTTTTCTTGGAGTGCAAGGCAACCCAGAAATCCCCAGTCTCAGTCCTCCTGATGTTATCTGCGTAGCCTGGGAGCTTCGCGAATATGTTGCGGGTCCCAGCCTTAGGTCCCTTGACCCAATATCGGTGGACGAGCTGGGTTGGGACCTCACAGGATAGCACGAACGAACCGTCTTTGCTAAGGGCAAGACCGTTCGGGAAATGAAGACGGTCCATTACAACTTTGCCCTCTTTCGTCTTCTTGTCGTATCGGATTACTCTTCCCGTCTTTTCCCCACACAAAAACGCAAAGAACACGTCCCCGAAGTGGTACGTGTCGCTGCTATCGTTGAATTAGATGGCGTCGTCTTCTTCGTCTATGTCCATTTGGTTGGCGAACATGATTTTCTGGCCTTCCACCACGTCCACCACTTTCTCCGCCAGTCCTCCGTCGGCTCCCACCTTCATTATTCCAAGGTAACCGTCGCAGAAGTACAAATCTCCGGTTTTCTTCTCGAAGCTCAGCCCCAATGGCCTCCCGCACGCAGGTTCCACCTTAGTCCTCGAACAGTTCCCTCTTCATTTTTTAGAAGTTGAAAAGGTCATTTTTATTTAAAATAAAGTTACCGTTCTTGAAAACACTTTCGCCATAATTTTTCGTGCACTCAATAAAATATTTTAATTCTATTTAAAATGTCTAAAATGCCTCCAAAACAACTTCTACCCGCAATAAACTACATACTGGAATGTATTTTAGACATTTTTTGTGGAAGTAAAAATGTTTTATGAAATTCGCAAAAAATTAGGGCGAAAGTATTTTCACGAACAGAGGGAGTAATATTTTAAATAAATATAAGGGGAATTTACCTAAATAGCACTAAAACATAATGACTTTCTCTAAATAGCATCATATGTGTTTTTTCAATGTAGCACTTTTAGTCATTATCTATTAGTAACTATTCAAGAAAATATTTGCTATCACTGATCATTATTTCTCCTTCTGGACATTATTAAATGCTATTTAGGGTATAAAACAATTTAATTGCTCTTTAGGGAAATGACTTAAGTTCTAGTGCTGTTTAATGCAAATATTTATAAAATTAAATCACCTGTGGGGAGTAGAGTGGGCGAATTCGACCCAACCTAGATCCTCACCGCGCCACTTGAGAATGTGGCCGTCTGTGGCGCCGACGTACGGGCCTTCCCCTCGTGGGTCCCAGTCCATGCTCTCCGGCCCATTCACCGGAAGCGGGATCATCCTCGCCGTGGTCAGGACATTTTTAGAGCCCGCTATGCTCTCCGGCCCGATGATGGATGGGCCCACGAAGACCACCAGGACGGCCATGACCGCCGTCGCGGCGCCCCACTTCTGAAATTCCCGGCTTCCGATTGCCATTGTTGATTTGGGTGAACGTAAATATAATTCACTATTTATACTAATGACTTAATTTGGGTGTTCAAAGATGTTTGAGAATACGTGAGAGACAAGACAAAAAATAACTAGAAGAAAAAAAAAAGCGTTAGTGATTAAGAGAAGTTATCCCATACTACTATGTTAGTGTAATTAATTACATTTGTTGATCTTCTTTTTCTTTTTAATCCGTATATATTTCCGTATTTAGATGATACCGACTAACAATTTATGTTGACAAAATTATATAGAAATCACTCAAATAGAACTAAAACATAGAGAAAAGTACTAAAATATGACTTTCATATTTTTATTCCCGAAATAAGACTTTGCACTGTGGTATTGTGGTATTGTACATGTGCACATTACTATATGTTTTACTAATGTACATAACCATGTTTGGTAATGTAAATGCATTTTAATCCCTATTTTGGGAATAAAAATATGTAAGTCCTATTTTGATATATTTTCAATGTTTTACTCTTACTTTTGTCTTTTTCTCAAAATTATACCTTCATATTACGCAAAACAATGTAAAATAGTAGCATTTAGAATGTTGAGGAATTATAAAGTAGGTTTTGTTTATTTTATTCGGTTAGAGGGATTAGTTGCTTTGCTTTGTCTCTAAGTCTCTTCTTTTTCTTTTTGGAAATATTTTGGTTTAGATGTAAAGAAAAAAGTACTCCGTATATTTTGTAGTGGGACATATTTTTTTAATCGCGAGCTCACTATTAATTCTCATTTTTTTAAATTTAACATATGAATTTTTTCTTAATTACAAAAGACCCAAATTTTATATACTCCGTATTATTTACATAAGGTGGTCTATAGAATTTATGTGTGAAGGCAAGAATTACATAAGAATTTGTCTCCTACTCTATATACCCGGAGTACAAAGTGCTAAAATAAATCTAACTAGAGATAAGCCAGACTTTCAGGTGAGTGTGGGCCTTGCTTTCCTAAATGGTTAGTGTACAAAGGCTGGCTTGTCAACAATGGGATCCAACTAGAGTTGGACACGCGATCAGAGTTTGGGCCTAAATAGTCCGTTTAATAATTGGACTCCCGCATAACCCCGAAGTGCGGTTGCACACGGAATTTAGGCGAGTTTTCAAAAAAAAATAAAAATCTTCACTCCTCTTATGATATCAATATCTACAGTGATGATTTGTTCGAAAACGTTGCGAGTGAAATCATTCTTTCCCCTACATCCTTACCATGGCTACCAAAACACCAAAATGCTACGAAGAGAGTGTAGCATTTTAGCATTTCAGAAGGGGAGGGGGAGCTGGTGGGGAGGGCAGGAGGGTATTGAGATGGAGGTAGATAGCTTAAAAGGATTGGAAATATCAATTTTCAAACGGTGTATTGTAGGTGTTGTTGCTAGTTGCAAACAAAAGAGGAGAGTTTTAAAAAATATTTATCTAAATAGAATGAAAACAAGATATTTATATTAAAATAAGACTCCGTATATTTTATACTCTAAATAGAACTCCGTGGTTTCTAAACGTTAGACCCACATTCCTTTTGATCATTACCCGGTCTTTTTCTGATAAAGAGGAGATATTGATGCTTATTTTCTAAATCATATGGGACACTCTTGCTCATTTCTTATTTTTCGTTTATTATTTTTTTTTTCTTTTTTTTACTCCGTATAAAATAAGAGGTGATTTTAATTTTTCAAACAAGTTAACTCAAAATTTAAAAAATACTCAAATGAAATATATGCATGAATGCATTTTGTAATAATATTAAATATATTTGTAGAATTTTAGCGTAAAACTGATCTGGCTTTTCATTAATCACAAACCGATATATATACAAGTACATAAATGGGCTAACAAGCACAGGCCCAATAACACAATATCTACGGTTAATTACAAATATCCGCTAACACTCCCCCTCAAGTTGGTGCATGAAGATCTCGAATGCCCAACTTGAACAGTAAGAAATCAAAGACAGGTTTGGATAATGATTTAGTAAAAATGTCGGCCAACTGATAACGCGTAGGGACATAGCGTGTAGACACCTCATGGCGCTGAACAGATTCACGAACCGTATGACAATCGACGTCAATATGCTTCATTCGTTCGTGGAACACTGGATTTGCAGCAATATATAAAGCTGATTGATTATCACAATATAAACGCGGAGGATATAAAATGGGGACACCTAATGCGCCCAAAATGCCATGCATCCAGCGTATCTCAACACACGCGTTGGCCATGGCCCTATATTCAGCTTCTGCAGAAGATCGCGCCACGGTAGTCTGTTTCTTCGTCTTCCATGACACCGGGGAAGTGCCCAACATAATGAAATATCCGCTAACGGACCGTCGAGAGAGAGGGCAACTAGCCCAGTCAGAGTCACAGTAAGCAGTAATCTGAAGATTACTAGTAGCACTCAGAAAAATTCCCTGACCCAGGTGCCCTTTGATATAACGCAGAACACGCAAAGCAGCATTCTTGT